TATCAATCTCAGTCCCTGAATACAGTACACCCTTTGAGTGGTGTGAAGGCTCGTTTTTACATGTGAATGTGTGAGTAGTTTTGTGATTTTATCACTCTTATAATAAAGCGGTTTTACACTATATAAGTTCTCTCTCCTTATTGATGACCCTGTGGGAAGGGCACCTTCGATACCACCAACGCTCTGGTATAGGAGATTAGAGGAGGAGAGTCCCACCATTACTTCTCGAGGGGTCCATCATCTGAAGGATCTATCCAAGACCCACCATATATCAAAAGGCTCATTGGTCCCTAGGGGCCTGGGCAGGAAGGTGAGGGGGCACTTCACCTATTTGAGGATTGACACTTACAGTTTTCACCTGCATGGAAATTTATGCACATGGACACCATTTATTGCAATATGCATATAGTCACTTAAATGCATGATTTAGTTGCTTGAGAATATGTCATCACCAGCCCATTTATGTATATAAGAGGTACGGCTGTGTGAGTCACTTTCAATCATATATATGTCACCTGATATAATATAATTTATCCCGGTTTGAGCGCTGCACTATTTTTCTATCATTTCTCTTGACTAATGTTGGTGTTGTGATTGTGACATCGTCAGTGCTGGCTGCTGAATAGTACCATTATACGTAGTGGCGCAGGAGACAATTCTATATTTCTTAGACCTGTCATCTTCCCACTCTGCTCTGATCAGCAGACAGGTCATCTAAACAGAGCCCACTCCATGTAAAACAGGCCTTATATTAAAATACTTGGAGACTACATAGCAACCAGCAACTGTTGAGGAAATAAACACATTGGACAGGAGTATGTAATGTATAGCACAGCTAACAAAGTGCAGCAGTCAGGACTAGGTAACATGAATCACAATGTTTACAATACAACAGTCAGGATTGTGAAATGTACAACATAATTCATAGAATTATCTACGGTCACAGTGCATAAAATACAGATGTATGTTACATACAGTATGTACCTGCCTGTAATACCCCAACAATGCCAGGCTATTTTTCAGTGTTCAGTGCTATTCTTCGTCAGATAGCTGAACTCACCAAGCATTTGAAATTCACAAATGTCTTTATCCTACGTAGAACACGGGGCAATACAACAAAATGCAGTAGAGTTGATATAGAAGTATTTTAGGTGGTCAAAAAGAGTATTGGCTTCCTTAGCCCCAGTGTGTGTCTACACACAAGGAAAAGGAAATGACCTCACAAGAACCGGAAGGGATACAGAAAATAACATGCAATGCAAAAAATGGTAACAGGGTGGCAGCATAGAATAACATAGACTAAATATAGATGCAACTGCATTTCCCATATATACTGCGGCAGCAGCACAAGTGCTGTGATAATTTGGCAGTTACTCGATCATGCAAGACTGTACCCAAATTAAATGTAGATAATTTAGAGCTTTACTCTGATGGTCTTTAATAATCATTGACGTTTTTTTACTATACAATTGTGCTCAAATGTTTGCATACCCTTGGAGAATTGGTAATAGTATGTACCATTTTTAAAGACAGCATGAGTGAGCAGGAAAACCACATTTCTTTTATTTCTTATGGGATTCATATTCAACTGTAGGTCATAACAGAATGGCACAATCATAAAACAAAACATGGCATCTAGTAAATAAATGTAATGACATGACCCCTGTTCAAAAGTCTGCATACCCTTAATTTTTAATACCATGTATTGCCCCCTTTAGCATCAATGAAAGCATGCAGTATTTTGTAATAGTTGTCTGTGAGACCCTGAATTCTTGCAGGTGGTATAGATACACAGTCGTCTTAGCAAAATGCCTCCAGGTAATGCAAAGTCTTTAGTTGACTTGCATGAACCACAAGTTTGAAATCTGCTGGAAAGCCCAAGAGCATCCATTGCTCAGCTTTCATGCAAAAGAATGCAAATTGTTTGCCGGTAATTTTTTATTACATGTTACATTCATCTTGCTATCAATTTTCACAAGATTCTCTGTGCCTTTAGAGCTCTATTTTGGTCACTCCAGATTACAGTGTGCCAGAATGTGAGGCATGTCAAGTTGTTGTCAGGCATATTGTAACTGGGCTTTTTTGTGGCATTGGTGCAGTAAAGGCTTCTTATTGGCAACTCGACCATGCAGCTCATTTTTGTTCAGGTATCATCGTATTGTGCTCCTTAAAACAACCACACCATCTTTTGTCAAAGCATCCTGTACTTCTCCTGAGGTTACCTGTGGGTTTATCCTTGTATCCCGAGCAATTCTTCTGGCAGTTGTGGATGAGAGATCCCTGGATTTTCCACTTCTTAATAAGTCATTGAAGAGTACTGACTGGCATATTCAAGGCTTTGTGTATCTTTTTATATCCCTTTCCATCTTTTTAAAGTTCCATTACCTATCTTTTCTGCTCCCCAAGTGAGAGCTAACAAACTCATTGACTATTTATACACAGGCACTAATTGCAATTTACCTTTAATTGGCATTTTAACTCATGTGTCTGCGCCAAGGCCAAACATTCCAGGGTATGTAAACTTTTGATCAGGGTCATTTGAGTGATTTTTATTATAATTATGATTTAAAAAGAAGCCAAACAACTATGTGACAATAAATGGCTTCATATGATCACTATCCTTAAATAAAAGACAAAAGGAAAGTTTTTTGTCATGATGATATTTTCAATATCAATGCCAATATACACAGAAAAACAGACCAACATTTTGGAAAAAAAAACAACTTGTTTTTGTCACCTTCTGTTATAAAACATATAAAAAATGTCAGGACAGTACTAAAAAAATCTCTGTTTAGAAAACTAGACATCCAAAGCTGATACACAGAATATAACTGGATACAACATTTATAGGTAAAGTTGCTGGGTTTTTTTGCCTTTCTGTGGATCAATTGTGGGTATAGGATTATAACTTTTTTTTTTTTTTCTATGGGAAAATCTGATTGCCACTCGGGGGATCAGGAAGGAATTTTTTCCCTGCAGGAGCAAATTGGATCATGCTTTGCTGTGTTTTTTTGCCTTCCTCTGGATCGACTGTGGGTATAGGATTATTCTTTTTTTTTCAATGGTTGAACTGGATGGACTTTTGTCTTTTTTTCAGCCAGACTAACTATGTAACAGGTTGCCAGTTACTGTTGTAGTAATCTCCAAACTAGCTGGCCGCTGCAGGAGATTGAGGACTTTTTACAGTACAAAGGGAGCAGATGAGGTATAAGGCAAATAAACAAAGGGTTGCAAATGTATAGTGGAGGTTGGGGTGATGCAAGCTCTGAGTTGTCTGTACCATCATCTCCTCAGTGCACTGTCACTCCGAATTGCATGTCCTTGTTTCAGCATGGTCAGCGGTGTGGGGAGAGATTTCCAACCATGCACAGCTCAGCAATTCCTGTGCAGATTTCAGTGGGGACAAGTGCACAATACATCCCATTAGTGATTTAACATAGTTATTTAATTATTGATCATATTTCTTTAAAGAGGAAAGCAAGAACTAGAACATCGCGACACACAATATTATATGTAATGCAGTTCAGTAGTAATTGTGCTTCAAAAACATAAACAATTTTTTGTACTCCACCACTCTAATTCTTGCATATGTAACACACATTCCTCATGTGTAGGGAATATAAGCATTGAATTCCCCAGTGTTTGTTTAAAGGATGGATACCAGAATGTCCTTCTCTTTAGGGTTAAGCACAACACTTTATTCAAGCCCAATTAAGCTTTAGTTGAAATCAGCCTAATATATTTCAGCTGCATCAATACAAAAGGAAGTTCAAAGTCCTAGAGTTTGTTTTCTTTGGAAAACAGCAGAGAAGGACCGTTCCTCTTGGTGTAGAAACAGTGATCTCTCTGTAGAGTTCTGAAATGATAATGCTACCTGCTGATTGACCAGCCTAGACTCAAATGGGAGCATGTTTAGCTTCTGCTTAAACTTTTCTTCATCATATCTTCAGCTTGAATTGCCAAAGTTTGTAAGAAGATTTATGTAACTCGGAAATGGCTCAGTTTTGGATGATAAATGACAGCTCCACTGCCTCCTCTTCACAAGAGTACTCTAAAATGGAGAAAGAGACTTTAGCACTAAAACCGCCTCACTGTGTTACTTGAACTTAATTTTCAGGGACACTCCTGCACATAATTATTCTGCACTTGGGCAGCACTTATGCTGATAAACTAGTCAAAATTCACTCCATGAGTGGCCCTGTAACCACTGTCCCATCTGACATCCTTCAACTAAAAAGGCAGAACATTTTCAACAGAGTAGCAGCTGCATCCAATCAGATGCAGCCCATATTCTGGTATTCACTGGCCACTGGCAGCAGCTATCAGAATACAATTATTATTATATTATTATATAGAATTGATATAGAGACAAAAGTTTGCGCAGCACTTTACAACATGAAGGTAGACATTACAGTTACAATACGATTTGGTACAGGAGGAAAAAGAGGGCCCTTAGAGCTTACAAGAGCCACAGTAGTAGATTTATCCATCTGCACTGTATTAAAAAAAATGGAACTGTGTATAGCCACTTTACGTCTGACTCTTGGTAGCTAATGGTGAGGTCACCATAACAGTTTGTGGTAGAGGTACAATAGATTGTTGGAATACTGCACAAAAAGCACAGAAGCCTGTGTACTTTTGCTAGGAGTAAACTAGGAGTTAAAGGTAAAGCTATTTATCTAAAAGCTTTAAAATTAATAGAATTAGAATAATATTTTTTATGTACCTAATGGGTTATTTTGATAACTAAGAAATATTAAAATATGGGGACATAGCACATCTCAGCAACCCTCTTATACAATAAAAGCAATATTATTCATAATCTGATTATTAGTGTATAAGAGGGTTACTGAGATGTGTTTCCTCCCCATATTTTAATATTACCTAGTTATCAAAATACTCCATTAATGTATTGTGCCATCACTTACATGAGTCAAGTGTAAAGTATGTTGCTTTGTTCTCTTGGTACATATATGTATTATGAACATATATTCCCACAGATTCGTTACTGGAAGGCTGGAGATAAAGAGGCAGCTGCGGATAGGGTTAGATCACCCAGTCTTGATACTTCTGCCAAAATGAGCGGATTGAAGCCAAACACTTTGTACCACATGACTGTTCGCGCTTATAACAGAGCTGGGACTGGACCACCTAGCCCAATTGCTAATGTCACTACCAGCAAAGCACGTAAGTGTATCATGATGGGAAGAGATGGTAATCAGAACAGCTGGAAGAGTCACTCATATTTAAGGAGACTTGTTCTGTAATGTTAAAGATGTTTCATGACTAATCCAGGTGGCTTTCTAAGTTCAAATGAGTGGCAGTAACATACTCCAGCATTTATACCCACACTGGGAACCAACAGATAAATCACTTGAATCCCACCACATCCAATTCAAGTAATGCGTTCAAGAACATGGATTGAGAAGTGAAATTTTGTGAAGCCACTCTGTTCTTATGTACATAGTCTCACTTAGCTCATTATACCCCATTACGCACTCTGTTCTTATATACCCTGTGAAGTCTGGGATAGGTATTGATTGTTTGAGTTACATGCCTGAAGATGTGAATTGTTAAATCACCGAGGTAAGGATGTTACAATTGCATGTGGGTGACAGATGGCTTGGAAAACCCCTTGTTTAGGGATGATTGTCCCAGTCTGAGGTGGATTGCTACTTTCACACTTCTTGTAAACCAGCTGTCCTCTCTTTCTAAAATGTGCTCTTCACTGTCCTTCAACATTTCACATTGTCAGACATGGAAACCAGACAATTAGCACCTGTCCCAGAGCGTATGTTCTTGGACAATCAACATCAGCCTCAATGCGTTTTTTTATACCATGGTAATTCATTTACATTAGAGTGACTGAGTTACCCATGTGGCTATATGCTGGGGTATGTTACAGCACTCATTTTAACCAGATCAGTTCTCACATATGTACTGTATACCCCTTAAGGAATGTTTACATTTTCAGCTATGGGCCTTTTGACTTGGCAATAATTTTGTCATTACTTAAGGTTAGAAAATAATACTTACATACTGAATATTTGAACATTGTCTTGAAAAAGTGATTTTATTTTTTAAGCTTGGAACAGTTTTAGTTTTAAAACAAGTGCACTTTTTATTTAATAATGTCTCCTGTTTATAATGACAGTAACATTTCTGTTTCTATTACACAGAATTTTTATTATTATGTTTCTATTACAAAGTTATTCATAAATGAAAAAAAGTAATTTCTGCACTTTTTTTCAAATGAGTCACTAAAAAATGATGTACAAAAAATTTTCAAAATAAAAGTTAATACAAATACCAATAAAAAATATTTAGGACTGATTAGGGTTAGCTAAGATTTATTAAAGGGTTAAATAGGAACATAGTCTATTTACTTTTTTTTAATGAAAGCAACCATTCTTTTTACTTGCAAAGGTTGCTGTACCTGATGTGACTTTGATCTAGTATGATGCTAGGCAGGGGCGGACTGACCATTTGGAAACTCGGGCACTGCCCGAGGGCCTAGGGTCAGTAGGGGGCCCCATGAGATGCCCCTGGTACCTTTTTCATAGGCTTTTTTGAGTTTGGGCAAGGACACAGGGGCCCCATGGTCCCCTATTGCCCAGGGGGCCCCATGAGTTGTCAGTCGGCCCCTGATGCTAGGTTCACAATATTGTGGGTGGTTGCAGGTGCAGGAATTGCAGCTGTTCCCGCACCCGCAACCACTGGTAGTCAAAATGCGCTGCTCTTGCAGACGTGAGGGGCTGCCATTCATTCTCAATGACACCCCCACGCATCTAAAGCCGCGGCACGTTTGCAAGTGCAGGAACCACTGGAAAATCGCATGGTGAAAAAGCACCATGAGATTTTCTGGCTACAGTTTAAAAATGATGCAGGAACCTTTTTCCTGCAAAAGAAACAGGCACGGCAGCCCATTAAAATAAAATGGCGGTCGTGCCCAATCAAACACAGCTCACAGAGTTGCAATAGTGTGAACCTAACCTTAATGTACCAGAGAAGTTACAATGAAGAAATTATAACATTGTGACATCGTAACTTGACATTACAGACACTGTTCTGTGAGTGTCAGTTTACACAGGAGCAATAAAATCTGCTATTTGATTTAAATAATACAAGGCAAAATGACATCCAGGAATTGCCTTTAAATGCAGTCAGATGGCTGTATGGGGGAGGGGATGGTTTTGGCATACTACACCCCCCCAAAGTATTAAGATTAAGTATTTGTTGGGAGTGTGCAGCACACTTATTTTCCATAACTGAATAATGTAACCTAAACTCAAAATGTGAAGATTTGCTATTTAATAGGAAATATCTAAAAATGGTAATTGTGCTTCAGCATTACAATAGCAGTGCACTTCCTGATATGTGGGTGTGCCAAGACACTCCTGTGATTACAGCCTTATAGCTGTATATCTGCTGTGTGAAATCTAAGCCTCTCCTGCATCTGCCTGCTAGTCTCACAAGATTTGGAGTAAGATTTACTGAGGTAAGTACTGTGCTGATCACTGTTCTCCTTTCTGGAGGCTCTGACATGAGAAAACAAAACCCTGCCCCCACCAAGATGACTGCCTCTACACAGAGAAACAGCCCAGGTGGTAAGTCATAAATAGAGAAAGATCAGCTGCAGGGAGACCATATGGGTGGCAATACTGGTGATTAGTGCTTTACACTCTGTTTACCTTTTTGGGCCTATCTTTTAGAGTTCAGTTGCTCTTTAGGTAAGAAGCCCCTTGGATAAGTCTTGGAATGGATTCAGCCAGGGGCGGACTGACCATTTGGAAACTGCTCGAGGGCCCGGGGTCAGTAGGGGGCCCCATGAGATGCCCCTGGTACCTTTTTTCATAGGCTTTCTTGAGTTTGGGCAAGGACACAGGGGCCCCATGATCCCCTATTGCCCGGGGGCCCCATGAGTTGTCAGTCCGCCCTGGTTTCAGCATATCAGAACAAGTCCACTTTAGTCTTTAATGAGACTAACTCATTTAGTCACACCATGACCTGGACAAATTAAAACCTTCACATACATGTTGATCACAACAATATTGATTTTGCAAATGTATCTTACTGAAATACAGGTCAAGTATGGGATCCATTATTATGAGAACTACAGTATTCTGAAACATCATATATCACAGGAGTGTAAAAAAAACCCTTAGCTGTGACTTTAATATAAATGAATGCACATAACCATATGCGTATCTGACAGTTAAGCCATACATGAGTCAATTTGTAAAAGAATTTTCTTTTGAAAATCTTTTCTAAGAATTTTCATTTGAATTTCGCACCATTAGTGGGCCACAGCAACAGACTAGTTTCAAGCGACCATTGAATTTGAGTGATCAGGCATGTTAGAAAGTTTTAGAAAAACAAACAAATTTCTAATCAATGATCTGAGAATCATGAAAGAAATGTAACTGAAATAGAAATGAGCATGAGCTGTGACAGTGACGTGGAAAGAAAAGAAAATTCTTAGCCACAAAAATTATTTTCTGTAGTAACATGAGGTGAAGTTCAAGGCTTGATTGGCCAAATTTCGAAATCAATGGAAAGAAAAGAATATTCCTAGCCACTAAATTATTTTCTGTAGTAACATGAGGTGAAGTTGAAGGCTGGGTTAGTCGAATTTCAAAATCAATGGAAAGAAAAGATTATTCCTAGCGAAGACATATTTTTTCTGTAGCAACATGTGGTGACTTGCAAAGAAAAGAGAATTCTTGGCCACGAAAATTATTTTCTGTAGCAACATGTGGTAAAGTTGAAGGCTTGGTTGGATGAATTTTAAAATCAATGATGGCGCCATTGGATTACAAAACACACGAAATTTCCAATTTTCTAAAGAAAATTAGTTGGAGATTCAATCCATTTATGGCAAGCATTAGTCAGTCATGACTAAAGCTGGAGAGCGCCAGATCAACTAAAAACTGGAGAGTGCAAGATCAAGTGCACTTCTGCATAGAAACCAACCATCTTCCAGGTTTAGTGCCAAAGATTAACTGAACAAGCTGAGATTAGAAGCTGATTGGCTCCCGTGCACAGCTGTACCAGATTCTGAGTGAATCTTAACTTTAGTAAATCTTCTTCTGTATCTAATCTATACCATTTTTTGGGACAAATTTTTCTTTTGATGGTAAATAATAACCTCTTGGCTTTTTTAATAAAAGGGAAAAGGACCAAAAATTTTGAAAACAAAACACGATTTTTTTCTTACTTTCTGTTAAAATAAAAATGCGAATACAATATGAAAATCCCTGAATTTTTGAAAATGAGGAAAAATGCTGGTATTTAGAGTTAAAGCATAGAGCTTGGCAATGGTGCACTAGATATATTATTGTACAGTTCATACACAGAGGAAGGAGAGCGAAAGGGTTATGATACATGTCACACACAGTGGGAGGTTTAAAGGAGTTTATATGCAGCGGTATAAGGTAGGTGAAAGGTTAATATGCAGGCTACATATTGAGACAGGCTTGGAGATCAAGTACTTACGGGTAAGTGAAAGGGTTACATTTTATATTTACAGTGTAAATGAAAGAATGGATCACCAGCAATTTCTGTGGATCCATTTATTCATTCCATTTCATACCCAACAATGATGTATCTCCTTCCTGTCTTGTAAGATGAAGGGGTGGCATCAACAATGTAAACAATAGCATGTGATCCCTGGGATTGGCTATCAGTGTGATCGCAAGGTACCAAGCAGCTTGGATCAGCTGTGTACAGACCTGTTTAATGACTGCTCAGTACACAGCGATTAGCAGGTGCGGAAGTTTTCTCCATACATATTTATAAACAACACTAGGGAAATAACAGTACACCAATCCACTGTTTTTAAACTTACTTTGGTAGAAAACCAGTTAAAGCATAAGCCTCCAAAAGACAAAATGACAAAGGAATGGATAATGTTTAGAATATGTTAACTAAATTTTGTTCTGCAGCTCCTAAGAGACCTCCACGTAATATTTCCTGGACACTTTCCCGCTCCAGCATTAACATCAAGTGGGATCCAGTGATAGCAATGAAGAATGAGTCCTCTGTAACAGGATACAAGGTAACAGATTGCTGCAAATACTGTACTTAAGACTCACGCTCATGTATGGATGGTACAGATCTTTGAACCCAGACACTTTATACAAATGATAAATATTCAGCTGACAGAACAGGTTAATGACATGTTCAACAACATCTATTCATGTCAATGCTTGGATTGCTGTAGTAGTACACCAGTGAGCACATTTGAAATGTTTGACCAGAGTACTACCTCTAAGGACTGCTAGGCTACAAAATATTACATTTTTGTTTTGTGGTTTAGATACACTTTAAAGTGAATCTCAATTTAACAGCCAAAACAGGCTGCAAGTAGATATGAGCACTCTGGAAATTTTCGTTTAGTTTTGGATGCATTCGTTCATTAAAGAATTTTGTTTCGTTATGTTCGTTATGTTGAACCAATTTGTTTTCGGGTCTTCAACATTCGTTTCGTATACTTGTTGGTGTGGGTTGACTTAAAAAATGTAGCATTTTTTTTCGGACGATTGCTATGTAGTTTGGGGGGATTTGATATTCATATATCAAAACTATTCAGAAGGATTCAATATGTTTGGAAACACTGGAATAAATAATGCAACATTTGACGGCCCTGAATTTTTCAAACCTAAGAATTGCATTAGACTATGGAACTGAACTGACTGACCGTGACAATTACAAATTCAATTTAAATCACACATGTACTTGCATTCGAATTATAAAACTAATTGAAAAACTGAATTAATTTCGCCATGGACCCAAACTACTATCGCATCATGTGACGTCATCCAAATGAAACAATTTTGTTATAACGTTTTTCAGATTCACTGACATTCATTACTATGTCCAGTCAGAGATTCCTATACTTCTGAATCTCTGAAAATTGATTAGTAACAAAACGAAATGCACGTCTAGCTGCAAGATGGGTATGAAGATCAGGTATTTAGTAATGCGTGCACATACAGTACCTGCAGTGGCTTTCGGTGTCTGCCCAGCCCCAATGCTGAGTTGTTCAGGAAAGCAATGACACTTCCGGTGTCTGCTATCCTAAAGCCCAATACACATAGGCAGAATATCGGGAGACATCAGCCGGTTCAACAGAAACCGGCCAATATTCGGCCCTTATGCTTCCGATCAGTGCTCTCAGCCAATGGCTGAGAGCGCTGACCAGTGTGTTCTGGGGGGGGACACACTGTCAGAACACAATAGCACAGTGGGGAGATCACTGAACTGACACCACTTGTGTTAGTACAGCAATCTGCCAGTTTTTTTTTTTGTTAAGCCCCTTGGGTTGAATGAAAAAAACTGATAGTGTGTATGGGGCATAACTGTCTGGAATTTGTTTGTTTTGTTATATTATCAGTTCACATTTCCTCAAAGTAGCCAATCTCAAATGCAATTCTACAGCACAGGTCTGCTTCTGATTAGCTGCTGTAAATATGGCAGTAGAGGGGGGGGGGGGCAAGCTTTTAGGTGGAACTCCGCTTTAAATACATTTGTGCAATCAAATATATTTTTCTGTGAGTTATGGCTTTATTAATTTTGCTTTTTGAAATAGTCTATAAAAACATATTACAGTAAATATTTTTGCTAAATAAGCATCATTTCTTCAGCTTCTTTATAGGCTTGATTCACAATCAACTCCTACTCTGTATGCAACCAGCAAGACAAGAGCAGAGCTTCCACTTCCTGAAGGGGCCAGCCATGTGACGATACAACTCTGTGCTACTGGAAAAGGTGGAGATGGGGAGCCAGCAGAAGTACACATTCCCAAAGATTCAGGTATTTTGGAGGGTTTTTTTTAGAATATACAACTATTTATTAGAAACTACTTGCCTGTATTTCCAATACAGTAAACATTGTATGTCAGGGAATATTCCTTTAGATTAATGCATGAAAGCAGAATCTTGTAGCAGAATTTATAATGACGACAATAAAATATTTACATGAACATTCCAGCTGATTAGAGATTTATAAATAAACTATTTGTGTACATGCATACATACATAAATCAAAAGCTACAGAGACCATACACATTGTAATGCCATGTTTATCCAGATTACAAATGTGGTTAGTTAAGAAAAATACTAAATACATACTGTAACCTTATTATGATCCAATAGCTATTCAGCTTTTGTGGTTTTTGTACTATGGGCTGAAAAATGTGGAAAACTGTAAATATATATATATATATATATATATATATACACAGTGAAGGAAATAAGTATTTGATCCCCTGCTGATTTTGAATGTTTGCCACTCACAACGAAATGATCAGACTAAAAATCGAATGGTAGGTGTATTGTAACACTGAGAGACAGAATAGCAACAAATAATTCAAGAGAAATGCATGTCTAACAAATTATGCACTGATTTGCATGTTCATGAGGGAAATAAGTATTTGATCCCCTATCATTGAGCAGGATTTCTGGCTACTAGGTTTCTTTCATACAGGTAGCAAGCTGAGATTATTATTATTATTATTATTATAATTATTATTATTATACAGTATTTATAAAGCACCAATGGTTCGCTCAGCGCTGTACATTACAAAGGGGGACAGAACATGTGACAGAACAATACCAATACAATACAAAACATGAGGGGATCGAGGGCCCTGCTCTTTCGAGCTTACAATCTAGGAGGGAGGGGATGGTGGCACAGGAGGAGATAGCTGTGGGGGATGGAGTCGTAGGAAGAGTGGAGGAGGTCGGCAAGTTAGCAGGGGGTGGGGTAGGCTTCCCTGAAGAGATGGGTTTTCAGGGTGCCTAAAGGAGAGGAGAGTAGGTGATAATCTGATGGGTTGGGGCAGGGAGTTCCAGAGAATGGGTGACACCCTGGAGAAGTCCTGGAGGCGGGCATGGGAGGAGGAGACCAGGGAACTAGAGAGAAGGAGGTCTTGTGAGGAGCGGACTGTGCATGCTGGGCGGTACTTGGATGTTAGGTCACTGATGTAGTTCGGGGCAGTATGGTGGACAGCTTTGTACGTCAGTGTTAGGATTTTGAATTTGATCCGTTGCGCAATCAGAAGCCAGTGGAGGGATTGGCAGAGGGGGGTGGCGGAAATGGAGCGGTTGGAAAGGTGAATGAGTCTGGCAGCCGTATTCAGGATCGACTGAAGCGGGGATAGCCAGCGGCGAGGCAGGCCAGTGAGGAGGGAGTTGCAGTAGTCGAGTCGTGATATGATGAGGGAGTGGATGAGCTGTTTAGTGGTTTCTGGGGTTAGGAACGTGCGTATTTTGGCGATGTTGCGGAGGTGGAGTCTGCACGAGTTTGTTAAAGATTGGACTTGGGGCTGGAAGGATAGGTTGGAGTCCAGAATGACACCAAGTACTCTGGCTTGCGAGGCGGGTTTGATGGTGGCGTTATTGGATGTGATGGAGAAGTCAATGGGGGGTTGTGTCCGGGCTGGGGGGAAGACAAGAAACTCGGTTTTGGAGAGGTTCAGGTTAAGGAAGTGGAGCGACATCCAGTCTGATATGTCGCTCAGTAGGTGTGTGATTCGGGCGGAGATCGAGGGGGTGAGGTGGGGGGTTGAGAGATAGATTTGTGTGTCGTCGGCATAGAGGTGGTAGTTGAAGCCGTGAGAGTGTATGAGTTGGCCAAGGGAGGAGGTGTAGATGGAGAAGAGAAGGGGCCCCAACAGAGAGGGGGAGTGAGGGGGAGGTGGTAGCATTATAGGTAACGCTGAAAGAGTGTTGTGACAGGTAGGATGAGAGCCAGGAGAGAGCAGAATCTCTGAGGCAGAGGGAGTGTAGTTTTTTACGAGGAGGGGGTGGTCGACTGTGTCGAAGCCTGCAGAGAGGTCAAGGAGTTGGAGCACTGAATAGTGGCCATTAGCTTTGGTGGTTAGCAGGTCGTTGGAGAGTTTGAGTAAGGCAGTTTCGGTGGAGTGTAGGGGACGGAAGCTGGACTTTAGGGGATCGAGGAGGTTGTTGTCGTTGAGGTGAGAGCTTAGGCGGGTGTAGACTGGGTGCTCCAGGAGTTTAGATGTAAATGGGAGCAAGGAGATGGGTCTGAGGTTGTTTGGGTCATTGGTGTCCAGGGAGGGCTTTTTAAGTATGGGGGTGATGTGTGCATGTTTCAGAGGGGAGGGGAAAGTGCCAGAGGAGAGGGAGAGATTAAAGATGTGGGTGAGGGAGCGTAGGATGGAGGGGGAGGGAGGTCGTAGGAGTTGTGAGGGGATAGGGTCGAGGGGGCAGGTGGTGAGGCGGGCATCAGAGAGGATCTTGGAGACTTCCTCGATGGTAGTAAGGTCAAAGGTGCAGTTGGGGGGGCTTCAGTATGAGGAATGTAGGGTGGGGTGGAAGTGGAGGTCAGAGCAGTGGTGGGGCCGTGGGAGAGGGGTGATGAGGGGGTAGCTGAGTGAGGGGGAACGGGGTTGGAGGGAGTTTGAGCAGCGACGAAGTCCCTGCGGGTTATGTCGAGGGAGAGGGGGGATAAGGGGGTAGCTGTGTGAGAGGGGACGGGCTGAGAGGGCATGTGAGTTGCGGCGATGTCCTTGCGAATTATGTCAATCTTGTTTTTGAAGTTATTGGCAATCTCAAGGGCAGTGAGTGAGGTGCTGGGTGGAGGTAGGGGTGGCGAGAGTAGAGAGTTGAAGGTGGAGAAGAGTCGGCGAGGATTGGAGGAGAGGGCCTTGATGAGGGTCATTAAGTAGGCTTGTTTGGCTGCGTGGACGGAGGAGGTGTAGGTGTAGAAGGCAGATTTGTAGCGGGCGAAGGCTTGTTGGGATTTGGTTTTGCACCATAGTCGCTCCAGGGCATGACTGCGTTGTTTGAGGGTTTTGGTGTGATCAGGGCTGGAGCGGTCGGGGTCTGATGTTGCGTGTGGTTAAAGGCGCTAGTGAGTCAAGGGCTGTTGACAGCGCGTTGTTGTAGGCAGTCATAGCCAAGTCGGGGCAGGACAGGGGGAGGATGCTGTCATGGAGTTGATCAGCTGCAGAGTGGAGGGGGGCAGGGTTAAGGTTGCGGAGGTTACGGCTGGTAGTAGTGTGACATTTGGAGGGGTAGGCGTTGTTGGACAAGGAGATAGAGAAGGTAATCAGGTTGTGGTCAGAGAGAGGGAAGGGGGTGTTAGTGAGGTTGTGGGGAGCGCAGCGGTTGGAGAAGACGAGATCAAGGATATTACCGTCGGAGTGGGTGGATTAGAAGCAGTCTCTTAAAGGGAGTGCTGCTAATCTCATTGTGTTACCTGTATAAAAGACACCTGTCTACAGGAGCAATCAAACAATCAGATTGCAAACTCTCCACCATGGCAAAGACCAAAGAGCTGTCCAAGGATGTCAGGGACAAGATTGTAGACCTACACAAGGCTGGACTAGGCTACCAAACTATTGCCAAGCAGCTTGGTGAGAAGGTAACAACAGCTGGTGCAATCATTCGCAAATGGAAGAAACACAAAACAACTGTCAGTCTTCCTAGGTCTGGTGCACCATGCAAGATCTGATCTCGTGGAGTGTCAATGATCATGAGAACAGTGAGGAATCATCCCAGAACTACACGTGAGGATCTTGTCAATGATCTCCATGCAGCTGGGACCACAGTCACCAAGAAAACAATTGGTAACACACTACACCGACAAGGATTGAAATCCTGCAGTGCCTGCAAGGTCCCTCTGCTGAAGAAAGCACATGTCCAGGCCTGTCTGAAGTTTGCCACTGAACATCTGAATGATGCAGAGGAGGACTGGTTGAAAGTGTTGTGGTCAGATGAGACCAAAATCGAGCTCTTTGGCATCAACTCAACTCACCGTGTTTGGAGGAGGAGGAGGAATGCTGCCTATGACCCCAAGAACACCATCCCAACTGTCAAACATGGTGGTGGAAATATTCTGCTTTGGGGTGTTTTTCTGCTAAGGGGACAGGACAACTGCACTGCATCAAAGGAATGATGGACGGGGCAATGTACCATCAAAAATCTTGGGTGAGAGCCTTCTTCCCTCAGCCAGGGCATTGAAAATGGGTCATGGGTGGGTGTTCCGGCATGACAATGACCCAAATCACACGGCCAAGGCACAAAAGAGTGGCTGAAGAAGAAGCACATTAAGGTCCTGGAGTTGCCTACCCAGTCTCCAGATCTTAATCCGATTGAAAATCTGTGGAGGGAGCTGAAAGTTCAAGTTGCCAAATGTCAGCCACCAAACCTTAATAACTTGGAGAGGATCTGCCAAGAGGAGTGGGTCAAAATCCCTCCTGACATGTGTGCAAACCTGGTGGCCAACTCCAGAAATGTCTGACCTCTGTGATTGCCAACACGGGATTTGCCACCAAGTACTAAGTCATGTTTTGTGAAGGGGATCAAATACTTATTTCCCTCATGAACATGAAAATCAGTGCAAAATTTGTTAGACATGCATTTCTTTTGAATGTTTTGTTGCTATTCTGTCTCTCGGTGTTGCAATACACCTACCATTTGATTTTTAGACTGATCATTTGTTTGTGAGTGGGCAAACATTCAAAAATCAGCAGGGGATCAAATACTTATTTCCTTCACTGTGTGTGTATATATATATATATATATATATATATATATATATATATACACACACACAGAGAGGGAGAGAGAGAAAATTTTTTTTTTTAATACTAGAATTGCATCTACCTATTACAGTGATGAACACAGGCAAACTGTTACCTTCATGCTTAAGTGGTATCTGCAGGCTTATGTTATCAGTAAAGACTCTAAAGCAGGCCATAGGCAAGTAAAAAAGCGAACAAAACATCTTTTCAATCATCAGATAATTTTTGGTTTTTCACATTATTAGTGTGCCAGCTGCAATACATGATTTTGGTGCTGCAATTGAA